GTTGTTATCTCCTAGTTACCTAGTTTATAATTCTTTATATTAAATTCCATTTGTCACCTGACTAGACCCTGATATATCAGCTAGTACCAGGAGTGGTCCCAGAAAACAACCCTCAGAGATGGATCATAATCAGAGAACTACAGAGCTTACCTAAAAGTAACATAAATTTTTCATTATAATAATTAATAAGATAAATTATTTATTAAAACAATAAATAAAAATGTATTTCTTGTAGCTGCAGGGTCAATATTTCTGAAAATGATGCATAAAATTTAACTTGTGGGTTGCATGATTATAATGTAAGTTACATTCACAATCTCTTGCTAATCTGTTGTGTGAAAGTCAAGGCATTGCTTAGGAAGGAGTGAGAACGTGAGACTTGGAATGGGAAATCTGGGCAGGCTCAGATGAAGCTGACAGTCTTGAACCTTTGAGTCATTTTGAGCTTCCCTTGCCAGTGGAAGCAGCTTGCCTATCACGTCTGAGAAGATTCACTTTCTTGCTTAGGGTGTCTGTAATGAGGGCACCCAGGGCAGGTGCCTGGCAAAGGACATCTTCTCTCCTCAAGACCTGCCTCTTGTGGCCTGCTAGATTCTCCACCGGCATCAGAGCTCCACACGCTTGACCAGAGTTAAGTGCAAAGTCTGCCCTGGGAAGATACAGCTTCTACACCAAAAGAGTGGCAAGATTTTGCTGCACTACATCATAGAAACGTGGGGAATCTGTGCATGAATGAATCCTAAGGGTTTGGGTCCTAGCAGGATAGAATATAAGTGTGTATTGAGTTAAAGGTATTGATACAGGTGCACTAACCAGAAGTTCTGGATTCAGCGTGTTGGTGCAGGCAACGGAGTGTCTCTATAGTTTACTTAGCTGCTTGAGTGAAACTGGGACCCCAGTGATGAGTACATTTAATGATGTTGAGATGCTAGAATTTCACTGGTGTGTTGTAGAGGAAGGAATAAAAAGGCTTAAGGAGATGTTGGAATAGATTTATTATGGATAACTCGCACACCTGCCCGTCTACCCCCCACATTACCCAGTGGGCCCAGAGGACATTTCCTTGGCTGTGACACTGGGAAAATCATCAGTGGTATGATCAGTGGGGGGACCACTGGTATCCTTGAGAACTCTGGCAGCTCTCCTCTGTGGGCCACGTGTGTGGGACGGACTTCCTGATTCCACTGGGGATGACGGTTCCTGGAAGAGCAGCGGCCAGTGGTAGCACCTGGTGGCCAAAGACACAGCAGGGCGCATATGCCGTGATGAGCAGTAGGAGGAAGTGGACGTCACCGTATCTTGACCCATGGGAATCTCTGGCACTGGCTAGTTGTCATAGTGTCCCTAGGAATGAAAGAGATGGGCATCCCACTAAAATAATGTGCTCTATATCCCAGGAAAAACTCCATGTCTTGTGTCCAAAAGCTGATTCAGATCACCACAGTGGAGAGCCAGGCTCTCTTACCCAGTTTTCAGACCTAATCTAGACCTAGAACTTCTTGTTTGAAAAGGAGGTCAGGTCCCCTTAAAGAAGGACTCTGTACAAATGTGTTTGTATGTGTGTATAGAACACAGAGGGACCTCTGACCGTTTACTAGGGTGGACCACTGTAGCCCACAAAGTGGGGGCTTATGGTGGTCAGTTCCCAAGTTCAAATCACAGTGAACCCACCCTGTGGTTACCTCCTGGATTCTGAACAGAATAGATATCCCTACGTTTACAACTAATTGATCACAACCAGTTACAGATTCTTTTTTTCCTTCTCCACTCCCACTGCTTTACTTGACCAGCCTTAAAAAGAAAAATTAAAAAAAAAAAAAGAACAGACACCCAATGTCTATCCCAAGGGCTAGAGTGAGAGGTGGGGCCAAGTAGAAGCCCCTGGAACTTCTTTCCTACCAGGAGAGTAAAACAACTGCTGCCAGTTTCCTCACAAGTAATAGAAAGAAAACCCATCTTGCTGATGGGAGGATTCACTTTCTCCGAAGACAGCACAGCATAGACTCATATGTGGGAAGCATTTGCCACCTTTCAGCATGCCTTTGGCCCTATTCCTTTCAAAATAATAACGTTCTGTTTTGTGCCAGGAGCGTTGATCCCTTCCTGAGCCAGGATCAACATAAAAGTACGTAGTAAGTCCTCACTTAACCTTGCCCACAGGTTTCTGGAAACTTCAACTTTAAGCAAAACCATGTATTAATATAATGAAATCCATTTACTATAGGCTAATTGATAGAAACAAGAGTTAAGTTCTACGGCATATTTCTGGTCACAAAAACATCACCAATCTTCTAAATAAAACCCAAAGCACTGCTAATATTAAACACTGAAATAAATGTGAGATAGAAATGCATCTCTAAGAAAGCGGAATAAAAACAAACGGGATAATTATTTGCCCAATTGTTCAAGTTCAGGGTCGCGGGTGGCTGGCGGCTATCCTGGAAGCTCAGGCCGCCAGGAGGGAGCCGGCCCTGCACAGGACTCCATGCCATTGCAGGGCACGCTCACACCCACACCCACCCACACCCACGCAGCCTGGCCCACTCAGACACACCAGGCCACCTAACGGGCACAGCGTAGGGGTGCGGGAGGAAACCAGCGTACCCGGGAAAACCCATGCAGACGTAGAGCTTGCAAACTCCACACAGGCAGCAGCCCCAGCCAGAATCCACGTTTCTTTCCTCATCAACATTGTAACAAACCAATGTTGAATGAAATGATGGCATTTGAGGACCTGCAGGAGTTGTTTGTTTTCTTATTCTCGAATGTTTTCCCTGTCGGGGAGGGTGTGGTTTTCAGATCTTCTTGCTACATCGCATCCCCAATTTGCAGATGCACTGATGCCTGGACTCACTCGTTCTTCATTCAACAAGCTTTCAGGGGGCCCACCTGCTCTCGCCAGGCCTGAGCTGGGCAGTGGGGTGTAGACGAGCAGGCCACACACTCTGTGCTCAAGAAGGTGGCCTGTGGGGGTGGGGGTCAGATGGAGAAGCCATTTCCGTGCAGTACTTGTCACTATAGGAAACCGTCGGAGGAAAAGAGAGTGAAGAAAGGCTTTCTGGAAGAGGCATTCCTGGACTGAATCTCCCAGAGCCGGTAGATGTTGGCCTGGAACTCGGGTGGGGAGAGGGAAGCCCCGTGGAGGGAAGAGCCCGTGGGCAGCCATGGGGACCAGAGACAACGACGCAGCGAGCCAGAGCACAGCTGCAGTGCTGTGTGGGACGCGAGGACCAGGAGGTCAGCCAGGCCAGGTCACCAGCCTACCCTGCCATCTGAGGTGCTCGGAAACGGTGCGATCCAGGCGTGGCTACGGCAGTGCAGGCCTGTCCTGCTGTCTGACAGACTGACACATTACAGGTGGAGCAGGACCGGACAGCAGACACCCACCAGGGGTAAGAGGGTAAGCCCTGGAGGTCGTCCTTCCTGGTTCTCCTCTCCCCCTTCCAGCATCTTCTCAGGGCTTTCACCCGGGCTCCAGGTTTGCACTGGGACCGTCTATGGAAAGTCGCCACCTTGTGGAAAGTTTAGGAATTACAGATCTAGAAATGACAACGTTCCTCACGCATCAGTTCAACACACATTCCCCAATAACTATGACCAAAGCGCTGAGATGAGGAGCTCTCCATTAGGAGGCGAGGACAGAAATGCAAACAGAAGTAGCCAAATGTTCAGAGGTATGGGTCTTCCTGGAGAAATGGGGCTTCAGAGATGACATGCTCATAATGTTGTGAGCTTATCACACTATTGATTCTATAGACATATGGTTTAATTATTAAATTTATAAACAAAAGAACCCATATCTGGAAGACCTAATGCAATTTCTTCATTAAGTAAGATTGATGGCTTTATGGGGCAGGTTTAATAATTAAACCATATGTCTATAGAATCAATAGTGGCTGTCTTGTGATAAGCTCACAACATGCACAATCTTTGTGATACATTGTTTTTCCTTCTGTGATATCGTCCAAGCTCTAAACCCTGCCAAATACTGTAACTCTTCCTAACCTGGGTCTGCTGTAATGAGTCATCTCTTTCCTCAGCCTCCAGGCAGGAGTGAGGGGTCAGATGGGCAAACGCAATGGCCTAGATTCGTCAGTTGTAGTGTCTGGCCACTGCCTCCACAATCCTCTTCCTCTCCACCGTGGCTGATCGGATCAGGAGTGTTATGGATTGAATTGTAAACCATGCTCCCTCCTCCCAAATGCGTATGTTGAAGCGGCTAACTCCCAGTACCTTGGAATCTGCCCGCATTTGGAGATAGGACCTTTAAAGAGGCCATTAAGCTAAAATGAGGCCTTATCCTTAAAACAAAGGACTTGGACCATGTGATGCTTACAGCAGGGTGACCCGAGCTGCTGTAACAGATAAGCACCATACTTCACTGGCTTATTAGAGTAGGACGTTGCTTCTTGCTCATGCACTAGTCTGTGCAGGGGACGATTTTCTCTACATGGTGATTCAAGATCCCAGACTCCTTGCATCTTGTGATCCCACTTCCTTTAGAGCCTTAGAGTCCAGCTAGCAGATGGAGAAGGTAGAAAGGACGCACTTGCTCCTTGACCGTCTTGGCCCAGAAGTGACACATATCTCTTCCGCTCACATTCCACCAGTGGGGCCTAGTCTGCATTTGCTCCTGGCTGCCAGGGCAGCTGGGGCGTAGAGCCCTGCTTGGGGAGATCCTCCGCAGCAACAGCCTTGCTTTACGGAGGGGGAGCAGGAACCCCTGCAGACAGCTACCAGCTCTGCTCTATGGATGGGGCTCAGCTCTGAAACTGCCATGTCTCCAAGAGAATCTGGGAGCCGGTGGTCCTAGTTTATTGCCTTGAGGCAGAGTCCTGGTTTATTGCCTGTAATAATTTTTACAGCTAGCCAAAGGGGCATGGCTGCTGGGCAAAGCCCCAACAGCTCAGGGGCCAGTGCCCAGAGCAGGGGCTGAGAGGGCCAGGGAGAGCCTGGAGGGAGGAAACAGGAAAGAGGTCCTGCTTTTGCAGTGTGGGAAGGGGAGGAAGAGCGGAACAGTAGCCAGCACTGTTCCGAAAGGAGGAAGAGAGCTGCCCGCCTGCTTTCATTTCTTGGGTAAATATTTGACTGCGTGTTTACCTTTTCTGAGTTTTTGGGTGTTGTGAAGAGGACTGGGCAGAACACCAGTTTATCAGAAGCAATTGTAACCAAGAGCCTGGAGGAGCCCAAAGAAGAATCCAGAGAAGCTTCCTCTGCCATCAAGTCGTCCACTGGGGCTGCAGGTTGGTGCTTCTCCACCAATATGCTTCCCGAAAGCACGAGGTGAGCAGGTCTGAGACAATCCATGCTGGACAGCCGTGTGTTTTGGGGAACTGTCTTTCATGTTGGTGATTAATGGAAACTGGGATAAAGGCATTCGCTAATTTGTAGGCAGGCTGGCTTGGAGGAAAGAATGGTAGATAGATTGCTAGATAGATTCCTTCTTGTCTTCAGTTCAGAGACACAGAGTGGAGTGGGCAGAGCCCAGATGTGGTGTTAGAGGACCTGGGTTCAAATCCTGACTCTGCAGTTTCTGGGAAACCTTAAAGCCTCAGTTCCCGCATCTATTATTCAGCTATAAATGATCCCTGTCCTTCCTCACCCATGGCTTATAGGATTGGAGATCTGTAAAGTCCTGCCCAGGTAGCAGGAATTAAGAATTCTTACTCTAACTGTTAAATGTTTAAGATCTAAGAACAGAAAATGCTTTCCAAAATATAACAAAAAATAGAACCACCGTCCTGTGGTGTCATAGTGTCTGTTTAGAAAGGACACTGTGCGACAAAAGAGAGAACAGGAGCCATGGAAACCAAGACACATACAGTGAGAGTCGCTTAGAAAAGGGGCTACCTGGAATCCCGCCTGCAGAAGACGGGAGCTGAGGGCTTGCAGGGCAGGGGGACAGAGAGTGGGGGGTCAGCTGGAGGCCGGCAGGGGCAGGCGGGGGCCTGGAACTTGACCTTCTGAGTGAATTGGTCCTTCCCGCACCCCCCCCTGCACCCCCCTGCCAGCTGGCTCCTTGGGCAGGTGAGAAGGGGTGAGGCTGAGAGGCAACAGGGCAGGGGTGTGGTCAGATGTGGGCCTTAGGAAGGTCCCGCTGGTCACAGGGTAGAGGATGGGCTGTGGGTAGGAGCCTGGGCAGGAGGCTCCTGCAGCAGCCAGATGAAGAGGACAGTCACCTGGACGAGGGTGGTGGCTGTGGGGAGATGTGTCTGGCTTTGGCAGGAACTGGGAAGGAAGGCGTGGAGGATGACCCGGGTCCCTGACTCGGACGAATGGGTGGGGGGTGGTGCCACTCCTGAGACGAGGACCCCAGTGGAGAAGCAGGTTGGTGGGCTGTTCATTTGAGACATGTTAGACTGGGGTGCCTGTGGGACATCCAAAAAGAGACAACCAGGAGACAGGCAATTGGCCCTGTGGTCTCATGGGGCAGGGCTGGGCCTGAGCATGTTGTTCAGATGTGTCTGTCAGTGAGGAGTAAGGGTCACTGTGCCCTCTGAGGACCCCAGATGTGAAACCTTTATCAATGTCTTAATGTCATTTTAGTGCCTGAATGTGTTTCCTGTTTAGAAAATAAAGGAAGAGTTCAAATGCCAGCATTGCCACTCACCAGCTAAGGGACTTTTCAACCTGTCTAGACCCTCAGTTTTCTCATCCGTGAAGTGGGAACACTAGTACATGCTGCATAGGTTGGGAAAGGATTAAGTGAGAGAATAACTGTAAGAACCTAGCTCCATGTCCAGCACATGGTAAACATTCAGTAAATAACTATAATCATCGTTATTTTTATTAAGTGAAAAGAAATGAAAATGAATATTGCTTTATTGGACAGTCAAGAATGGTAACGAGTAGCAAAAGTGGCTATTGTCTTCTTAAACAACCAACTGTTTTTCTTTCGTTTTGTTTTGTTTTGTTTTGTTTTGTTGAGACAGAGTCTCACTTTGTCGCCCAGGCTAGAGTGAGTGCCGTGGCGTCAGCCTGGCTCACGGCAACCTCAATCTCCTGGGCTCAAGCAATCCTACTGCCTCAGCCTCCCGAGTAGCTGGGACTACAGGCATGTGCCACCATGCCCGACTAATTTTTTCTATATATATCAGTTGGCCAATTAATTTCTTTCTATTTATAGTAGAGACGGGGTCTCGCTCTTGCTCAGGCTGGTTTTGAACTCCTGACCTCGAGCGATCCGCCCGCCTCGGCCTCCCAAGAGCTAGGATTACAGGCGTGAGCCACCGCGCCCGGCCTGTTTTGTTTTTTTTGAGATAAGTTCTTCCTCTGTTGCTCACCCAGGCTGGAGTGAGTGGGGTGGCACCATCATAGCTCACTGTGACCTTGGACTCCTGGGCTCAAGGGATCCTCCCACCTCAGCCTTTGAAGTAGTTGGGACTACAGGCGCCTGCCACCATGCCTGCCTAATATTTTTATTTCTAATTTTTATAGAGACAGGGTCTCGTTGTGTTGCCCAGGCTGGTCTTGAGAACTCCTGGCCTCAAGTGATCCTCCCACCTTGGCCTCCCAAAGTGCTGGGATTATAGGCATGAACCCCATGCCCAGCTCCAATCGTTTTTCATGGTAGCTCTCTCTGAACTTTCCAGACACACGTGAAAACACCCATGCACATCCCGTGAGGGGAGCACCTGCCGGAGCTGCCCTTCCCCAGCTGTCCAGTAAGCCCGAGTGAATGGAGCAGTCACGGCCAAGGCAAAGAGGACAGGGATGTGGACACACAGAGAAGAGAGAGAGAGGCCCTGGGGGGAAGCGGAATAAAAACAGGGTGTCTGTGTGTGTGCTTCATTGCAGAACTTTCCCCCATTCCCAGAAAGTGGCAGACACAGAGACAAACCCACAGACAGTGAGACACAGACGGGCAGAGAGCCACAGGTGACTTTGGAGGCTGCCAGAGGCAGGCCTACAGGGGAAGAGAAAGACCTGGGAAGGAATTATCAGAAAAGATAGTCAGCAAGCCCATGTGGGTTTATGGTATTCGTGAACTTTCCCTTACTTTATTTCAAACATTTAAATTTTGTGTTTTGGGAATGTACAAACTCACACAAAAGAAGACAGACTAGTACAATGAACACCCACATACCTGTCACCCGGCTACCACAGTTGTCAGCACACGGCCAGGCTTGCTTCACCATCTTCCCTTCCTTCCCTGCTCCTCCCACAGGTAGCCTACCATCTCATCATAGATTTCACTTTTGAAAAGAAGTTCGCTTTGTCCCCATGGATTTCTTAAGCCCTGCACAAGTGACCTGCTGCACAAGGTCACTGTCAAACCTTTACGAGGCCCTGCCACTCTCCTGTCTTCAGTCTGCAAGTGCTCAGACAAGGTTCCTAATCTTTTGGTGTTTCAGTTTTCTCATCTGTGAAATGGGGTGATAATAGTATCCCTCCCATGGGGCTGGTGTGAGGATGAATTAATTAACATGCATCCTTTAAAACATAGCTTGGCACAGAATAGGCCCTCGAGGGACGTTAGGAAACATCAGTGAGCACCTGCTGTTGTCAGAAGTTGGGCCGGGTGCTGGGCACCCAGAGCTGAGTGAGAAGGGTCCCTGCTCTCAAGGAGCTCCCCATTCAGACGGGGACACAGACCAGCGAAAAGACAGGGCCAGACAGTGGACTGGCTGCTGTGACTGTGGACCGTGTCCCAGGCAGGCCATCCTCTTAATCCAGAAGTGACTAAACTGAGACCCATGGGTCCTGTGAGCTCAGCACAGCACTTAGCAGCAGAGCTGGATGGACTCGAAGCAGCTCTTCCTGCTCAGGCCTGTTCACATGAAGGCTTCCAAGGAGGCCGGCAGCTGGGCAGGGCAGCTGGGCCACTCTGGGCCCAGGGGCAGTGCTTTGGGCCACCATTCCTGCAGCACGGGAGCGTGAGACTGGTCACAGGGGCAGGCATGGGCAGCCGCTCTGGCTACTGGTTAACCAGACGAGGGGCTGCAGTCCACTTTGTGATCAGGGGCCGAAGGGCAGGCCCAAGGCCAGGGACACCTCTCTGGCTGAGTGTGACTGTGTTTGGCATTGTGCCAAGCTAGGGGGAAGGAAGACAGAGGTTGCTGCCGCTCAGCCTGGAGAAAGGCTCCCCAAATGCCCAGGGGACAAAGGAGCAGATAGGCCCAAGAAGCGCAACTAGTGAGAGTCCCCTCCCAGCTCTGCAAAAGGAAACACTCCTCTCTTTGGTCAGAGCCATCCAAAAGCAGGGAAGGGACGGTGAAAGAGAAACATTATTCTCTGGGCATGGAGGCCAGACACTCCACCTCTCAGCACCCTGGAAGGGGGGCGTTGGATGCATTTTTAGGATGAGAAGAGTGAGGCCTGGAGAGGGGAAGGATTTGCCCAGGGCTGCCCCACAGCTGGTGTGTGGTGGAGCCGGGCTCGCTCTCAGGCCAGCCTGGTCTGAAGCCCACGCTTGCCCCACTGGCCCCGCTCCCTCAGCAAGATGAGTGTTTCCGCCACTGAAAATGCCCCAGTGGGGCTTCGAGGCTGCCCCATGGGGGTGGGGCAGGGGAGGACACAGAGGCAGATGGGGTGGATTCTAGAGCCTTGAGTCTGTGGTTCCGTGACCAGGAGTGGATGAAGGTGTCTGCATCCTGGGCGGACAGGAGGTGCTGTTCAGCCGTACGCAGGCCAAGCACACATAGCATGGCCTATGTCTTCCTTCCTTCCTTCCTTCCTTCCTTCTTCCTTCCTTCTTCTTCCTTCCTCCTTCCTTCCTCCTTCCTTCCTCCTTCCTTCCTCCTTCCTTCCTTCCTTCCTTCCTTCCTTCCTTCCTTCTTTTCCTTTTCCTCATTCCACAAGCACTGACATGGATTTAGTACGTACCTTGTCTCACGTCCAGAAGCCCAGGGTGGGGATGGGGTGGGGGATGGTTGGAGTTCAAAGTTAAATAAAACATGTTTCTAGCTTTTGAAAAGCCCATGACCTGAAAGTAAGAGATTAGACGTGAAAGGTGCCCTTAGAACATGAAGCGTGTGTGATGAGTGCTGGGAGCCCCTCAGGGTAACTCCAAAGGGGCTGGGGCGGGGTGGGGAGCGGGAGTGACTCTGGGTAGGGGAGCAGCGAGGAGGCCATATAAGGTCTGAGCTAAACTTTCCAAATGACCTCTCTTGCTGTTTACACACCTGAGCAGGTTATGGTGTTTGCGGTCCTGCGGTGCAAAGTCACGTATTTGCTGACTGTGTCGCCGAGCCAGGGGCCGTCATGGGTGGATGGGGCCTCCAGAAATCATCTGACAATCAAGTTTCTTTGTTTATTTATTTCTTCCAAACAGTTGCAATCCA